AATGTAGTGGAGTAGAGAGTAAAAGTTGCTTATATTTTTGATACTCAGTACAAGTACAAAGTAGCCAAAAAAATACTTAAGTACAGTAACGAAGTCCATTTACTCAAGTACTTTACACCACTGTATCAGTGTAATGTTTAAGATATATTATGATATATATATAACAGAATAGAACAGAATCTTCTTTTGATCCACAACATTAATAATTAACTTTAGAATGTTTGTGTACGTACTCCTATATAATTTTAATATATTCCAAGATAACAATGATTTCTAGTCGAACCCAATAAACAGTGCCGTAATTCAGTTTTGTGTGCAAAAATGTGACCATTAAGCCAAATAATGTAAATTTCATATTTAAAATGCAATACTGTATGGGAAAATTAGATGAAATTGATTATACTATTGATTAGATAAAAATTTGTAGAAATTTAGCTTTCATTTTTTTTTCTGAATGACGTCAGACGATGAACTTCTGCCAGTAACCACCGCCATTTTCTCACTTAACGCTGATGTGTTCTTGTTGGAATTTCTCTTCTGATACCTGCGTTGTTTATCTTTTTAAAATTTGTTTTGTTTTTGTCAGACAGTAGAAACCAGATTTTTAACGTGTTAATTGAGCCGTGGAGCTTCATCTTGGTCAATTTAAGGTCAGTAATGAAAAAGTCCGTTTAATATCTATCATCTTTGGTAATGCCGTTGTGAATATCAGAAAGGTAACATTAATGTTATCTATCGAAATACTTGAAGATTTAAATTTCATATTGAGCCACGACATTTATTATTTGGAGTGTTTCTGTATTCTCGTGTAAGATATTGTTTTAATATATTAAATGTAGTCAACTATTTTTATTATAAACCAGGCCAATGCCTTAAACCAGTTTCGCGCTCAAAAAGTTAACTTGAACTTTGTAAGCCAAGTCATTTAACGCCTTTCATATTAAAACAGTACTTTGTGGACAAACAGCTATTCGCTTTAAAAATACTATCAAATATTTTGAAATTATTTAATTTAAAAATTTTTTTTAGATGACGTCAGACGATGAACGTCAGTAACGTTAACCGCAGCCATTATCTCACTTTCACGCTGATGTGTTCTTGCTGGAGTTTCTTCTCAATTGCCTGCGTCGTTTATCTTTAAAATTTGTTTTGGCAGACAGGAGAAACCAGATTTTCACCGTGTTAGCCGTGGAGCTTCATATTGGTCCGTTTAAGGTGAGTTAATACAAAAGTCTCTTTAATACCTATCATCTTCAGTAACGCCATTGTTAAATCCATGAAGTGCTTAAAAGATAAATTTGAATTTCATATTGAATCACTACATTTATTAGTTGGAGTGCTTCTGTATGCGCTTATAAGATATTTCCAGTATAAACCAGGCCAACACCAGTTTCGCGCTCAAAAACTATTTGAACTTTGTTACGTTATAAGCCAATTCATGTAACGCATTTCATATTGAAAATGCAGTACTTTGTGGGCAAACAGTTGTTCGCTTAAAAAAATTCTCTAATGATTAAAAATTATTTAATTTTATAGTTTTTATGCAGATAACGTCAGACGATGAACTCTATTCGTAAGCCGCCCGCCATTTTAGCGGTCAACTTGACATCATTCACCCATAGATCTATGTTATTCACCATAGTAATCACTGAATAATCGAAACGCCACAGTCCTGCACAGCCGTTGGTCTGAGAACCTGTAGTATGGCGAATGACGTCATGTTGATTGTTCCAATATGGCGAACGCATGTACTTGCTTGGAGCGGTCCAATGGGGTATCTACGTATATACACTCACCTAAAGGATTATTAGGAACACCATACTAATACGGCGCTTGACCCCCTTTCCCCTTCAGAACTGC